TTTTTTCTTTTTTTTTTTTTTTTTTTTTGCGGATATCTTGGTAATTGAGTATCGTGAAATGCTTCAAGCACTTCATTCAAAGCAATAATGCTATAATTATAATGAAAATGGGGCAAAAGCACATCCTTACAACTTGGCCAGGCAGCTTTTATTATACACTGTCATTCAAGTTTGGAAATAATATACGTTTTTGTTTAATGTCTTCTTCTCACCAAGGCTGCATTTATTTGATCAAAATATGGAAATAACAGTAATATTGTGAAATTATTACAATTTAACATAACTGTTTTCTATTTGAATATATTTGAAAATATAATTTGGCAATGGCAATTTTATTTATATAGCACTATTTACTACAACCAGAGTTGACCAATGTGCTTTACAATAGAATAACTAAAAACAGCAATAACACAATGAAAAATAAAAACAGTAAAACCAAGAAAGAAAAAAGAAAAAAACATCGAAACTTAAAAATAGCCACAGATGAAGCCATTCTAATAAAAATGGGCAGATCATTCCAGAGTCTTGGCGCGATTGTAGAAAAAGCGCGATCACCCCTGCACTTCCACCTCGTCTTGGGGATAAACAAGAGTCTCTGGTTAGAGGACCGGAGGGATCTGGTTACATTGTGCTCAATCAATAAATCAGAGATATATGATGGAGCCATACCTTTTAGTGACTTATAGACAATAAGCAAAATTTAAAAATCTACTCTGTAACGCACAGGCAGCCAGTTTAAAGACTGTAAAACCGGAGTAATATGCTCCCGTTTATGAATCCTGGTCAAAAGTCTAGCTGCTGCATTCTGAACCAGTTGTAATCGGGATAAAACTGTTTGACTAATCTCAGCATAAAGTGAGTTACGGTAATCTAATCTAGAGGTAATAAAAGCATGAATCACTTTCTTAAAGTTTTTAAAAGAAAGACAGACAGGAGCCGCAACTGAAAAAAGGATGATTTGACCACAGAATTTATCAAACTTCAGATGTTCATCAAATACCACACCCAGATTTTTCACATATTGCTTAACACATGAGGATAACCCACCAAGGTGTGGATTGGGAGCAGTCAAGGAATTTGAGGGTTTAAAAACAATAATTTCTGTTTTTTCCTCATTGAAATTCGGAAGGTTTAGCGAAAACCATGCCTTTGCATCTGTCAAACAGGCCAGGAGAGCATCCAGTCCATCCAAATTCTGTTTTATAGGCAGATAAACTTGTGTATCGTCAGCATAACAATGGAATGACAGCCCATATTTTCTAAAGATGGAACCAAGTGGAAGCATATATATAAAGAAAAAAGGATGGGAGCCAAAATAGATCCTTGGGGAACCCCACAGGTTAATACAGCATTACTAGAAGTTTTTTTCTGTTTTATTCCTGTGATCAAAGCTGAATTTTCAGCATCATTACTCCAGACTTCAGTGTCACATGATTCTTCAGAAATCATTCTAATATGCTGATTTGCTGCTCAAGAAACATTTCTGATTATGATCAATGTTGAAAACAGTTGTGCTGCTTCATATTTTTGTGGAAACTGTGATGTATTTGTCAAATTATTTGTTAAAAAATAGCATTTATTTGAAATCGAAATCTTTTGTAACATTATACATTTCTTTACCATCACATTTGATCAATTTAATGCATCCTTGCTGAATAAAAGTATTAATTTCCTGCAAAAAAAAAAAATCATACTGACCTAAAATTTTTGAAAGTGTAAAATTGATTTTTTCTGATTCTACATTATTATTGCAAGTGTCACTTTTGAAATTATATAAACATATATATTAAAAACACTCCAAATGTGTGATATCTGTAGTCTGATTTGTGGCCTTCAACACCCGTCTGTGATTCATTGTCCTTATGTGTGTTTTATGACTGTATGTTCCTGTCTGCTGCTTTGGCTCTAATGGAGATCTCATGGAAGTGTACACATACAGTCACCCATGTGTGGTTTCTCACAACATTGTTTATCGACCTGCTGTTTCTAGGAAACCGAGTCGGACTTTGATAACTGCGCAGTGTGCATCGAAGACTACAAACCTAATGATGTTGTCAGGATACTGCCGTGTTGGTAAGATTTGAGACAAACATTACAAGACATCAGCTCAGAGAAATAAAAGGCTTAAAACTGTAAATAATACATCATTAGTGAAGTCAGGCTTAGTGTGCCATATTGAAGTTCAGCCCAAAACTATTGAACTAAATGAGCTCTTCCTCTAAAGCTCATTTTTAATCTGTGAAAGTGAAACTTTAAATAGTTTTTCCCAATAGTGCAGCATCAATATGAACTTTACCATGCCAAAGGCCTCCTTCATTAAGCATTGCTTACAATATGTCTATGCTGGAAGAAAATAGATCTCTTCAGTTATAATCAATAAAAATGCTGAATCTGGAAGTACATGTGGCATCAACAGATGCCACATTTCTATTATTGAAATGTTGCACATCTACTTCAGACACCTGCATCTGTCTTTAATTTAATCAATTAATTTACAAAAAAACATATATTTAAATAATTTTTGACCATTACACCAGAGCCGGCTCATGATTTTTGTGGTGTCTGGCTTACTAATTTAAATAATCTTTAATTTCTATGTGTATAGTTTCATTTCACCGTTTTATTACACTACTGTGAATTCAATTAATGCTTCACTTAATGTTTAATAATTAAATTATTAATAATTCATGTTTTTTGCACAAATAAGTTTGTTACTTTTTTTATAATAATAATAACAATAATTAATTAAAGTCTACTTAATAATAATAATAATAATTAGTAGTATTAGTATTAAGTAGTCTTTAATTATTAATTTTTGTTATTCATTATTAGATTTTCTTGTTGTCTGTGATTTAGTTAGTGAATCAAAAATTAAAAATCAGTTCTGCGTATCAGATGGTTTGTAGACATCTAAACTCTTAAAAAAAATACTGGTTGATCTGTTGTCCAGCCAATAATGTATAATTTTATTGTATTTTATTTATACATTTATTTATTTGCTAAAATAGCCAATACAAAGTCCATATTAATCTGGTTAAAATGACACATTGAATGTGCAAATGCATTAAAATGTTTAGACACAGTGTTAGCCAGGTGTTTTTGTGTAAAATATGTCTTGACTGTTTAATGATCACTGTGTTGTTGCCAGTCATGTCTTCCATAAGAACTGTGTGGACCCTTGGCTACAGGACCACAGAACCTGTCCCATGTGCAAAATGAACATCCTTAAGGCGCTGGGCATCCCGGTAAGAACAGAAGCTACTGGATCCACGAGCCTTGCTTGTGACCTTGTGTTTTGCTCTTAATAACGCTGTAATTTGCCATTAAAACAGACCAATACAGACTGTTCTGATGACATCCCTCCTGATTATGAGATGTCCGTCAGCGGGCCGCCCACCAACCCTGTGACAGGGGCTAGTGAGGTCTCAGTGGTCCTGGACCCAGCTGTCAGAACAATAGGCCTGTCACACATTTACCATGAGATGGACGCCTTCCCGCAGGTTGGAGAGAGCCACCACATCGCCAGCAGTGAGTATGGATGAACCGTTACACAAGGCCATCACAACTTATTGTGATCTTGACATAAATGTTTTTGGGGGGGTAAGTTTTGCTTTTCTCAAGGTATCTCAAAAATACTAAAGAAAATGAACAGTAATGTATAACATCTAAATAATTTATTAATATTAAATAATTGGTGTCACGTGTCAGTAAGATTTTTTTATTAGTTTTTAAAAGATGTTTCTTATGCTCACCAAGGCTGCATTTATTTGATTAATATTTAGCATTAATATTGTGAAATATTTTTCCAATTTCAAATAACTGTTTTCTATGTGTAATATATGTTAAACCGTAATTTATTGCTGTGATCAAAGCTGAATTTTCAGCATCATTACTCCAGTCTTCAGCATCACATGATCTTCAGAAATCATTCTAATATGCTGATTTGATGCTCAAGAAACATTTCTGATTATTATCAATGCTGCTTCATATTTTTGTGGAAACATGATACATCACTGTATAAAATTAAACTCAAAAGAGGAGTCTATAAAAATTGAATAAATATCCTAACAAAGACATTTTTCCAAGCAATGCAAGGATCTGTATAAGAAATGCTTATATACAAATATAAAAGGAATTGTAGTTCCAATGTGAAATTCCTATCTCCCACATGGACCTACACGTCTCTTGGAAGTGGATTTGATTATTTTAGTCTGTTTTAGTGGTTTTGCGTGTGATCTACTTTCAGCTCTCATGTATTTAGGTCATTTTTTTGGTACCGGCAGCAAATAAAAGCGCAGCCTGTCCTGGTTCTCCATCGCAGCTCTACTCTGATCCTGTGCTGCCTCTGTAGCCCGTATCAGGCCTTTTGTCAGCTTATGAGACTAGATTAGTTGCTTCGGTCTGCTGCCACGCACTGTAAATAAGCCTGTCAAACTCCAGACAGAACAAAAACACCATAAAACCATACCGTGTGTCTCGTGTGGAATCTTCCGGGCCATTTTTTCCTCAACTGAAGCTCTGAAATCTAAAATCTCTGAAAAAGGGTCGTTGCGACTGTTTATCTCACAAAAAAAATTAAAAAATGAATAAAGTAAACATGCAATTTTGAGTTTATATCTTTCAATTCAGACTTTTTTTTTCAAAATTGCAATTTTATGACTTGCAATTCTGAGTTTAAATCTCGCAATTCTGACATTTTTCTCAAAAGTTTGTGTTTATCTCTCAATTCTGACTTTCTCAAAATTGTGAGTTTTTATTTTGCAGTTCTGACTTTCTACTCAAAATTGTGAGTTAATTTCTTGCAATTCTGGGTTTTTATATCTCGCAATTCTTACTTTTTTCTCAAAATTGAGAGAGCATATCTCAATTGAGTTTATATCTTGCAAATCTGACTTTTTTCTCACTTTCAAGTTTATATCTCACAATTCTGAGGCTTCGTTTACACGACAACGATGTGGTCAAAAACGGAAAAGTTTTTCCCTTGCGTTTTTAAAAAGTTTCACGTATACACGACAACGTTTTCAAAACGATTCACGTTTACACATATCCGCAAAAACGTCCAAAAGTGCTGTATTACGTTTGCCAGGCCAGTAGTTGGCGTTGTCACCTTGTTAGTAAACAGTACCTGTAGGGAAGTGACGATTATATGTTTTTTTTATAATTTATTTTTTTTATAATGCTTTATTGTCAACAAGTAGCATGTACAGTGCCATATCTCACTATATAACAAAAACATTTCACATGCCTCAACAAGAAGGAACAAGGAAAAAGAAAAGGAAAAAGGAAAAAAACAAAAAGAGGGTACATAAGCATCAGTTTACAGACAAATGCATATTATACATATATTTACATTTCCATAGGATGTTACAATGCAAATTTTAATACAGAAAATATACTTTGCAGGTCAGCACCATTATTGATTATTATTATTGTTTTTTTAACATTATGTGAAAATGTTTAAGGAGGAGCATATATTAATCGTTTTAATTGCTTTACTATTTTTAGATTTTGACATCACATCTACAAACATTTTAATCTCTTTTTCAAGCACCATAAAAAGAGGTTTGCCTTTTGTAAACTTGCATTTTATGAATGTGAAATTTACATAAAAATAAAATAAAATTTATAATAAAACCAACATCCTTTAAAGAGTGATCCTTGATATAATAACCCAATTATATGTTGTATATGATGCATCTCCGCTGTTGGTTGTAACATTGGTGAAGTAAATCCACACTTTGTTGAAGAAGCGTTAGCAAACTCTTGAGCAGCAACAACAGTACCATGTACTCCGCCATTGTTGTGTATGCTTGTTCACGCTTGCCTTTAAAATCGACACGTACTGCGCATGTCTACATACCTAACACGTACTACGCACGCGCATGACGTCAGCGTTTTCAAAGATTCCCGTTTTGGGTGTTTACACGGAAACGATAACGGTGCCGTTTTCGAAAACTTGCACTTTTGAAACCAGTTTTCAAAAATATGCGTTTTCAGTCTCCAAAACGCTGTTGTCGTGTAAACGAACAGGCAAAACGCATAAAAAGTTTCCCATTTTTGGCTGAAAACGGTGTCGTGTAAACGGCCCCTTAGTTAATATATCACAATTCAGACTTTTTTTCTCAGAATTGCTCATTTATTTCTCACAATTTCAAGTTTTTCGTAATTGTAATGTTTTTTTAGTTGTTTTTTTTATCTGTGGCAGAAACAAGCTTCCATAGAAATCTTATTAACGTTTTTATTCCGACGCAAAAACAACACCTCTCACCAGGTTTGGTGCTAAAACAGCTTTTTTGTTGTTGCAGGTGAGCACCAGCCCTCCATGAGCGCTGATTCAGACACCTCACTCATCATGCCAGTGGAGCTCGTCCTGTCCGACGTTGAACTGCAGTCCAATCCAGAACAGGACGAGGTGAAGTCCTGAATTGCCATAAACAGAGCAGGAATGAAAGAACACGTGCAATAGCAGCACAGGTGTGCAACCTCCTTTTTTGACCTCATGGTCTCCATCACTGCAAAAATAGCTTGCTTGTCCTCGTCCTCTGGCTGTATTGCACCCAATGTCTTCTGTCCCGAGTTTGTGTTACCAGACTGGAAAATCCATATGGTCCTGCGAAGGATGTTTACGCTTTTATTTTGGAAAATTTTGACTGTTTCAACTTCCCTATGGGATCACTGCCAGTATACACCAGGATATTGCAAAATGAATATACGTAATGCTTCGATGAATGCGCCGTACATTTGCTTTGAGTGTCTAAAGCGGTTTGCGTGTGCTCTAACCAGCAGTTCATATGGTCCAGTGTCAGATGCTCCTTGTGAAGTATCACCAGTTCTTATCGTATGCAGGACGCTATTCTTGCATCTTCAGATATGTGATGTGTCAAGTCACGCCACAGTGAACCCAGAAACCCAGCTCAGCTCTGTGTTTCAGCAGCCGTATCCAGTGACAGTGTGTCACGGCAGTGTTTGTGAATCATAATGCCACGAAAGCAGATACTTTCCACTCATTTTGTCTTGACTAAGCGCTGTCATCTATTCCGCTAGGCCACATGCACACTGCTAAATACAGTCTCACTCTGGTTTGTTATTTATGAGAGTGACAATTGCATTCAGATTCAACCAAATTCAAAGCTGCGTGCATGTCATGTTCCAATTAACTTGGAAATGTATTAATTGCAATTTGGAATGTCAAAAATAACTACAGGCCCATTCACAACCAAAATGATAACTATTAGTGATGCACCAAAATGAGTTTTTTACAGGAAGCCTGAAGCAAAAAGTTTTATTTAGTCAAAAACTGAAAACTGAAAGTTTATTAAAAGATTATAATCAAATGTAATTGATCTTCAACACTCAAATAAAAGCTGAATCATATATAAACATTTAAATTGCACATAAGGCATTTTTATATACATTTTTGATTGTATAATTAAGTTTCTATTGCAATTCGTTGTCAAAATATAAACATCAAAAAAGTATAACATTAAGTAAAAATATATGAATAGTAATTTTATGAGAATAGCACAATATCATCCTTGGAATCACTTTCAGAATGATATTTTCCTATTTTTTGTATATATAAATATTTCTGGTTTCATAACGATAGAACATTGACAGCCAGTCAGATTCCACCTGACTTAATAATAAGACCTTGACCTAAAGCAAAATAAGGTGAATAGTATGAATTTGTGAAAATATAATATAGAGCACACTGCATGCTCTCAACCGCAGTGACGATTATAATATCAAATGCAATTTTATTTAAAAACATCTATTTATTAATTAATTAATTATTTGATTGGACCCCATACTAGAATGGACAGCAACTGATTCCAGGGACTTGGATTGTCAATGTTGGTGAAGTTTAAGATATTTTACACAACACTGAATCAAAAATGCTAAATAAACATGTTTATTTCTGAGATTACGGGTGCCACTCTCTGTCATTTGACAGAAATGTAGTATTGTAATCTTTTTCACATGCTATTTTTATGAAACACTTGTCAGTATGAAGTGAATACTTTATGGTTTGCAGTGAACTAGTGTTCCATTATGAGTCAAGCATCGTGATTCACTCCCACAAATAACAGCAGATGTCACTTCCTCTACCCTGCCGAGTGCATGTGGCCATTTTTAATTTTCTCTGGCATTGACGTGCCGAGTTAAACTCTTCAGAGGCAGTTTTTATTTCTAAAAGGTATAAAGAGGAATTGTTGGGATGGATGTAAATGTAAAGAACAGTAGAACGTTTGTAAATTTAGGTTTATCAAATTTGGTTTATTTTCTGTGGCATATAGGATTTCTACAGTATATCCCTGGACATGATCGAGTTACCCCTTTGCTAAAGGGAAGTGAGACAGATATGCAATCTGAGCAGCTGAATTGATCTGACGAGCTCAACCAGCGGTGCAGACGCTACCAGTTTGTCCAAACAATGGTTGACGACCGAAAAATGGCTGAAAATTGTTCTTTGTTTTTGCTATTCTGTTTGGTTGCTGCAGAAATTGCACGCGTAACTTTTACAGGAAGGTAGTAAAAGCACTTTGCATCAGATTTGACTAACAGGCCTGTTTTAAATGACTGTTTGCTTTTTATCGTGCACAATGGGAAAGTGAAAGACTATTGAATGGTTATTTTGATATCAAAGGGTTTATTTTTCTAAAAAAAAGACAAAAACAACAAAGGATAGATATATTATGAAGATAAACACCACCCCTTTTACATATTTATGTTTTATTAAATAATTCAGCTTTCCAGAATATAGATGTTATGATCATTTATAGCGTTTTGTTGTTGAATACAGACTTACAGTGTGTTGGTGTATCTGCCAACTTTAAGTATGTCTTATTATTTTAATTATTTTAATATTAATTATTAGTCATTTAATTAGGTATTTTGTTTTAATGTTTAAATCTTTTTTTCTCAGTGAGACGTTGTATCGAAATACACTTCCCCAGTTAAACGCGCTCATACCCAGAATGCACTGCTGCAGTGGGACGAGCTGATGAATGTTCGGTATACCAAAGCTTTAGTGTTTCATTTCCACACACTTTTGGATATGTGTGCATATGTTTGTTATGTTTGGACAGGTCGATGTCGCATGACCTGTACATTTGTATTGAATGGTCTTGCTGTGGAGGACAGCGCTGGGGTCTGTGATCCTCATATTCATATTCAGTAATATTTAACAAAAAGGCTTGTGAGTGACGTGACATGTGGCCAAGTATGGTGACCCATACTAGGAATTAGTGCTCTGCATTTAACCCATCCTTAGTGCACACACACAGCAGTGAACACACACACACCGTGAACACACACCCGGAGCAGTGGGCAGCCATTTATGCTGCGGCGCCCGGGGAGCAGTTGGGGGTTCGGTGCCTTGCTCAAGGGCACCTCAGTCGTGGTATTGAAGGTGGGAGAGAGCGCTGTACATTCACTCCCCCCACCTACAATCCCTGCCGGTACGAGACTCGAACCCGCAACCTTTGGGTTACGAGTCCGACTCTCTCACCATTAGGCCACGACTTCCCCGGCTTGTGCAGTGTTATTTGCATCTGTCAGCCAAAAAGCACATGAGATTTCCCTGAGATCTGCAGATTTTAGGATAGCTTTAATGAAACTGATGTTTAGAGGAATTTAATAAGATTAGATGATTAAGCACTTTTAATTTGGTGCTTACTTAGTCATTGTAACAGACATTTCTTTCAGCACAAACAGTATGACAGTGGGCTGGATTCACGAGTTTTCTTAAGAAAAAAGTCACAAAAATTCTAAGATCAATTCTTAATTTCTAAGATCAATTCTAACAAGTTTGTAAGAATGTTAAAAAATCTGCAATTCTTGAAAAAAATTGACAAATTCTAAGAAAATATGCAATTCTAAAAACATTTTTGAAAATTAAAATGATAAATTCTTAGGTTGTTAGAATGTTGAAAATGTGCAATCCTTGAAAAAAACGATCAAAATTCAAATGATAAATTCGAAGAAGTTCGTATGTTAACAAAATTTGCAATTATTTAAAAGTAATATAAAAATTCTTAAGATTAATTCTAAGTTCGTAAGAATGTTGAAAAAAGTGCAATTCTTGAAAAAATGTTACGTTGACATCTTTTTTACAGACGTTGTTCTTATCTGAAAAAGCATGTACTGTACAATATTGTCGTTGCTACTGGCTTGACTGGAGTCCAGCACCCAACCTTTTATTTTTAAGAAGTTATTTACAATCATTTTTAACTTTAACTTTCATAAGTTTAACATTTCAGCTTTTTTTTTAATTCTTCTTAAGTTTTGTCCAAAGTAAAAAGACTTCTTCTTTTTTCTTAAGTTAAATAAATGGCAGTTAAGAAGAATTGTATTCTTAAGAATGTTTTCTGAATTTGTCCCAAAATGTTTTTTTTTTTATTTTCTTTGTTTCATTGTGTTGTCTGTCTGGACTGTCTAGGAATAATTTTGTGAGTCCATTAAACTCGTCAAATCATGCGTTTGTTTTTTATTTTTTCTCCTTGGGAAATTCATTTTCAGTATTTCCGTGCTGTGCCTTTAAGACGATGTAAACGCCATCTTCATATATAATCATGAGCATTTGGATACATTTGGACAGATTCATAAAACAGCTAATGCTGAAATGTAAATGTAATGTGAAAATCATGTTAAAAAAGTGCTGAGCTCTAAAATTTGCAGTATGTTTCATATCACCAAGATGATATTCCTTCTATGGCCCTTTTAAAGGAACCTGTGTGTGTGTGTGTGTGTGTGTGTGTGTTTGTGTGTTTGTGTGTTTGTGTGTTTGTGTGTGTGTGTAGACAGTATAGAATGTGTGTTTGTTTGACTTCTGTTTCTCGTTAAATAAATCAATGTTTTTGTCATGATAGCACATTCTGTATGTGCATATCAGTTTTCTTGTGAAATGATTCAGTGCTATCCAGGCTGCTGTGTGTGATCTGCACAGGCACATGATGTAATTAGCATTGCTTGATAACCTTCCCAAATTTGCTCCAAATATCTTTCTTGTTTTGCCATGAATGTGGTTTTTGCAGTAAATCGATTTGCTGTTATCAGTGCAATGAAAGTATAATTGTGATAAATAATCAATTGCCCCTCACCTAAATAACTTCAAAAGAGATTTCATGTTTAATGCTGGCCACGGCTCTCTCTACTTTTTCATGCAAGCCTGGCTTCCGTCTCGGTTCACCTATTGCACAATTTCTCGATATTTTACCACTTCCATATTTTACAAGTTTTAAGAGTTGTATTCTTACTTCTTGTTTGTGGCCAGTTAAACATGTTCATGAAAGCACTTTGTCTCTTTTGTGAGAGTGTATGATCAGAACGTTTAAAGATGAAGTGTGTCATTTGTCTCAATGTATGAGTTTGTTTGGCTGATGAGTGGCATACAGGGAGATGGTTTGAAAGCATTATTTTTACACTTCTGTTTAATGCTGCTTGTGAGCCAGAAATGCCAAGCTTCACCTTTAACTTCTCTGACCTCTATGTCGGGGCTATGGTCAATCAGATATGGCACATGATGTACTGTATAAGTTGTCCTTTAGTGGGATCCACACTTTTAGTAACTGTCAGTCAGGGATTTGTAGTCAAGTGGTTGTACATGTCATTTAGATGTATATATTAAAAGAAGCTGAATATGACTTATGTAAAATTGTGGCACAGAAATGTCACGTCTCACCTTTAATGACTAAACGGTTGCATAACTGTCATTTGTCTTCCTCTAATGCTTTTCATTAGCGCAAAAAACGCCGTTGTTTCCAAGCAACAGTGAACATAAAGATGACAGACTGGACTTTTAAACACGCCGTATGGATCTATCTTCATGTGTGTCAGCCAGCTGACATCTGCTGCGGGAAACCATTAAACACAACAACAAAGCTGTGTCAACAGAACAACCGCCGCTCAAAGATGTTTCCATGATAACCACGGATGAAAGGTGAAGATGATAAAAGAGACCTGGGTATGAATGCTGTCTGTCTTCATGCTACTTTTGACAATAAAGCACAAACACATCTTAACATTTCAATATGTGCAGAAAGCACATACTTTGTGCTCAAAATGAGCCTAAAATGCGAAATAATAAGCCTGATAGGGATAGAAATGATTCATTTCCGAAAGCACAAACATAAAATAGCATTTGAAGTTGTAATTATAGTATATTCTCAGTTTGTGAAAATTAACATAGCAATTACAATTAGAAAATGTTAAAAAAATATTTAATTTTATATATATATTTAATAAATATATTTATAATATGTAAAAATATGAATTTCTTTTTTTGTTT